ACACATGGGGGGAGAAGATAAGCTAACTAAAGCTAATTTAGAAAGAAACTAAATGCCAATGTAAGCACAAGAACAAATGGCTATGAACTGACTGTAAGCTGGTAGGAAAAAAAAATAATCATTTTTTGATGGCATTAGGTAAGTACATAAAACTTTGCTTCTATCAGTTCCTCTCATGATAAAGAGGAGTCCAGGAAGATCTTCATTTTATCATTTTCTGTCACTGACTGATGAACCATTTGCTTTCTCCCTTCGGGAGTTCGCACTGGCAATGCATGCCCCAGTGAAGGGCCCTGTCTACTTGATGGTACCTTTCCTGGTATGAATTATGTGCCAGCCTTGAGCAACTGCCAACGAAATGTACAAGAGCCTTGGCACATTTGTCTGTGGTTGGTCGCACCAGTTTCCAGAACACAGTGTCCTTCCCACTCTCTTTCGGAGAGCCCTGTCTCATGCTGCCTATTTTTAACTCCCTTTTTGACCACTTTCCATGGTGAGGAGTTTGCCTCCAACCTCTTGTAATGCTTTTCGTGTCCTCCTTCCATTTCCTTCATTTCTCCGCGCCCCCCCCAATCCTCTCTTTCCCTCGGTAATTGTAAAGCCTGCACAAGGCTGTCTTTGAGATATTTCAAAGGGACTTAACACTCCCTAAACAGAAGGTTTTCAAATGCCCTCATCTTTTCTGTCCATGACCATACTAGCTGATGCATCTACTTTTTGTCAAATCAGTGTGGTTGTTTTCTGGTTCTCTTACTAAGATTCTGAGAAAGCTGCACTAATCTTATATACTTGTAGTGCAAGACATACCTAGGTAGATGTGTATGAAATGCTTGGAAAGTATTGCTCCTAACATTCAAGACTAAATTTCAAGATTTCACACAGCCTTTTTAACGTGTGACTGTAGGGCTGGTTTGTGGTTTCTTTTACATTACCATTGAAGAGAGGGAAGCCTGTGTAGAGAGTCCTCTCCCTCCCCTCACTGTCCTGGTCTCTTAGTTCATCAGATCTGGGATTTGGTGAAAAAATGCTGGAGCTGCCTCCAGCAATTACACCTGGATTTCCTGCCTTTGGGACCAAGGGCATGAGGGAAGGAGGGAGTGAGGCTATATGTCTGGGTCTTTTTTGACTTTCCCCACAGAGTGAGAAGTTTGAACATGCCTCAGACATGGACCTGGACTGGGGAGCTGGTCCCACAGCACAGCCTGGTGCTATATAGGCTCTCACCTGTGAGTAGTATCAATTCATCTTATGGTAGTTTGTAAAGTTCATTTTAAGGGAGGAGCATCTTAAGCATGAAGAAAACATCTGTTTTGCCCAAAGCTGTGGTGGGTCTTGTGACTGACTTTAGAAAATCTTATCCCCAGATCCAGACATAAAGTCAGGTCAGCAATGAACTCATCAACATCATGTTTGATATTGAGATTTTTTGCATATTTTTCCCTTTACATGACCAAGCATTTTGTTTCCTCACTTTTCATTTATATGCATTGCATATGACAAGATGAAAACCTACTCCTGCATTTCAGAAACAGAAGGGCTTACCAGGATCAGAGAGGCATATGATGAGATGCTCTGAGTTGCAGTGCTGTTTCCCATTACCTCATGTAGATTAGCTAATGTGATGTTTCAGCAGTGCAAGTGATGAAGGTTACATATGAAAAGCAATAGATGACAAGCTGGTCCATCTCACAGTTACGTCACTCTTGTATGACTTTCTTTGCACATTCCTCTTTAAATGACAAAATAACAAATGGTGAATCTGTACCAAATTATTCAATTTTCAATGCAAGACACAAAAATATAAATCAAAGTGGTCTTTGGGAAGCCAACTCTAGTTTTCTGCTTTTCTTGCAACAAAGGACCTGTCTCAAATATCTGTGGGACACCACTTCCAATGCAAACACACCATGGTTAATGCGTGGTTTGAAATCCAACATGGGCATCTGAGACAAGAGCACATCCATCGTTTATTTTTTATTTTTTTTTTTTGTGCCAGTTTGCTAAAAGCCCTCCCAACATTTTCTATAATATTGTCTTTCTTTTCTGCCTCCATTGAAAGGAGCATTCTGAGAACAGAATCTTTTTTCCTTGAGCTCCCAACTACATCACAGGTAGGATGCAGAGAGACATGTTGGGGTGTTTCAGTTTTGCTGATTTTTGATAGGTAATTTTTGTGGAAATTGATAAACAATGTGGATGTCACAAGTAAGAGCAACTGCAGGGAGCTGGGAAAGGAATATGTGGGTAGAGACTGACTTGAGCTATCACTTGGTATCTCCAAAATGCATAAGAGATCGGGGATTATTTATGAAACTATTTAAAGGAACGGAGGGACATTTTGAACATGCGCCACCAATGTGTGCTCAGCAGATGACCCTGGGTCACAGTGACATGTTAACATCAGAGTAATAAGGGATATTAGGGAGAAACTGTTAAGGAGGACTGTTCTGCTTAAGCATAACTGGTGCTTTTCATAGTGAGATTAGCTTGAACAACTTTCTTGAAACTCTGTGTTGATACTCAACATTCTCCAAAACAGGGCAATGGCTGTTCTGAGATTGATTTCTCAAACTGAATATCCTGCATGACTTCTCCCAGCAAAGCTCCCCCCAGTGACTCAGAGTGCTGGCTAGTGCAATACTGGGCTCATGGCAAGTAAAATACCACTCCCTTTTTGTGACTGAGTCCTTTCAGGCTCCCCTTAGTGCATCTCCTGGCAATGATTAGCAACATCTACTTATTTTTTTAAAGGCTACTCCCCCTCCCATAGGCTCCAGTCCTGTGAAGTCCTTAAGGAAACATACCAAGATCTGAAAAGCTATTGTTTGGTATTTCAAATCCTGGTCCCTTTATGTCCAGCTGGTGGGAAAAGAGGAGAGAGAGAGAGAGAGACAGAAACAAAATAGGAAGGCGACAGCAGGGAAGAGGAGGGTAAGGGAAGTTAGAAGTTTAGTGCAAAACGGATAGACCTAGGGATAAGCGGATCTGAAGGACAGAGAAAAGTGGGACAAAAGTAGAGCAAGATATGCTTAGTCCTGATCTGCTGGATGTCTCACAAGGGACTTTATGCAACCAGGGGGAAGTTTTCTCTTATGAAATAGCCTGTAAGGAGAAGTAATTAAAAGTACAGGCACCTCAATAAACAAGGCAAAGATTAAAAACCAAAATCAGACAGAATACCAGCAAGAAAGAGAATGAAAAAATATCTAAGAAGTATCTGGCATTTAAAAGCAGGATTAAAAAAACACAAACAAAAAGCAAGTATTCTGTAAGTGGCTTCCTGCCAAGGACAGACGATTTTATCTCTCTGTGCCGCGGTTCTTCCCACTGCAGAATGGAGGCATGGGTGCTCTTCCAATTTTTCAGAAATATTTGAAGTCTAGGAGCTGTTTGGATTGTTGCTAACAGTGGATAACGTAGAGTGAAGGAGGCTTGCTTCAGAGATGGGGTCGTCTTGGGAATATCAAAACAAAGACAACTTCATAACAGCCACCGATATGTAATAGTGCTACTGAGACTTTATGGGTGAAAACAAGGATATATTTAACAAAGATAAAGAAAGCATTAACAACACACATTAATAAGATTCAGCAATACCATCATGCAAAGAGTTGACATGTCGTAACTTTAGTATTTCCCTCCCTATAGTTAAAGATTTATTTTTACCGTTTGAAGTTTAATATATATTTTTCTTTTGGTTGGACTTTACTCCTCCCATTCCTATCGCCAAGCTGCAGGTCATCAGATTTTCTTACTGTCTATGATGGAAAAATCTTCAGAATAAAGTCTTATCTTTGATCGGCTGTTCCAAACACATAAAATATTTACAGTCTTATATCCAGCGGTAAACGCAGTTATAGTCTGTATTTGATAATCTGATGTTGTGCTTCTGATAGTCGTGTATAAGTGTTCATGGGAAGCTCTGTATGGGACTGTTTGGCACATATTTAGGTTCTTTTCTTGGCTGAAATGAGTTTGTGAAATGTCTCACACTAGTAACAGCTGAAAATTATAATAATCTCTTTCATCTTTGACATCACTGAAAAACACATGGTTATCCTCTATTGCAAAACCCTGATGGTCTTTGTCAGTTGCTTGAAACTTTGGCTATGGCTGTATATTCCTTACCAATCCCTTTACTGTCTGATTTGATCTCTGTCTCATGTATAGTCACATTGTGCAAACTATTGTATGAAACTCTTTTTGTTCAGCACCACTATGCCTTAAACTTCACTTGGGTCATAGCAAGGTTTGCTCCATGCTCAGAAAAACAATGTCAGTAGAAGTCTGGATGAGCTTCAGTTCTCTCGTATTTCAAACAGTATGTAGCTGCAACAAAGACAATGGATTTTGACCTAAGGTTTGTATTTTCAGTGTTTAGGAATCTCAAAAAGATATGATAGGTAAGAAGTATAAAACCATAAGGTTACAGTTGCATTTGTATGTTAGCAGCAAGGTACTGAAATACCCTTTTTGTTTTTTTAGGAATGCAGCTCTCTTTCTCCGTCTCACAGATAAGTGTGTGCAGAACACTCAGCCATAATTAAGGATGGAATCTCTTTTCAATTCCACTCTTCTGGCTGCACAGGGAGACCTGCTGGTAATTTTGTTTAATGAGGATAGCCCCACAGAGTGTCTGTCTTTAAAATTCTGTGATTAAGAAATAAAGAATGTGAAAAGCTATGAATAGGAAGCTAACATTTTTCTTATGCCACTCACTGATTTACAAACCAAGTGTGGACTACTTGTCATCTGGAGCTGGCCTATGGAACTATTTCACCAGTATGATGTTTTGAATTAAGAACTTGATGACAAGGGTTCCTGATGGTCTGCAGGCTGGCAGTGTTCAGTGGCTGCCTGGATTCAGCATCATCAGTTTGACATAGGTTTTTACATATCACTTATGGTGAGAAACACCCAAGTGCCTTCTTGTGATGCCTTAAGTGTGGCTATACAGCTGCAACATGTGGCTCATTCTTTCTCCCATTCTTGTTTGCCAGTGCTCCATCTTAAGTATGCCTGAATACAGGATGCCTCACGTTTCTAATGGTAAAAGGTAAGGATGAAGTTCCTTTCTCTGGAAGCATAAGGAGTTGTTGGAATTGAAAGCAGTACTTCTTTCTACAGGCTGACAACACAGCTACCAGGTGCTTTCAAGTATCACTGCTGTAATAGAGAAACTGGGTCATGCTCCATAAGCTATGTTGTAAAGGGGTTGAGCAAACCTGATTTTATGAAGACCGAGTTCCCTCTACAGATTTTAGTTCTGGCTTTGCGATCCTTGTGATCATTGTAAATGTATGGCTTACAACCAAACCAGGAATGGAAAGACTGCCAAGATGCACAATATAAGATAATATTTTCAGGTTTGATTGAGACTGTAACATCTATCCTTATATTGTGGTATTAGGGATTGCTATAATACTGCTGTCGGTAAAGTACCTGCAACCCCATGGCCAGAAGCTTTAGGGATGAAAAAGCTATTGACTCTCTATTGAAAACAGTAAAGCACCGTCAGGCAAAACTTCATCTGCAAAAGAGAAAATTAGGAGGTAGTTTATCAGAGTTGGATTTGCACTTTGGAAGTTTAATGAGTGTTATATTGTAGCAAAGACTTGATGTCCATAGTTCAAGACTTTCTGTGCAAGGTTGCTGCAGAAGGCCTCATCTCTGGGGGCTTGCAATGGATTGAATGCTAGTGTGGGGTGATGATAGGGAGGATCTTGCAGTGAGAGTTGGCACAGCAGTACCTTCATTCCCTCTTCTAGCCCTCAAGGAGACAGGGACACTGAGTTAGGGAGTGATGCTTCCACAGTAGTCTAAGCAAGCTGTATCTCCAACAACAGACAGACCTGCCAGGAGAAATCTGGGCTACTGCCCTGCATTAATGTGGTCTTTGAGACGTGGTGGACCTGGTATGGCCTTGGACAGTCTCCACTTCTAAGAAAGAGGGAGCTAGAGAGAGATCTCTACCCAAGGGCATTAGAAAGATGTCAGAGGAATGGGTCTCTATTTACCTTATCCACTGTATTTCACTAGACCTTTTTTTTCTGGCCTAAGTTCATGACTGCATTCTCCACCCTGTTCTGAAGACTTTGTTTCTACAGTCTTGGTGTACTTGAATGAGAGAAATAATGTGGGGAACAGTCCTAGGGGAGAAACACTGATTTTCTGCATGTTTCTGTATTCATCTTGAACCAATGCTGGTATTTATCACAAGACAAACCCACAGATGCTAACACCTAAAAGACACATGGGACTCAGAGGGTGGCCAGTCACAGAGTGGTGGCAGCGCAGCTGGGGTGTGCTTAGGAAGTCTTTGTCGTTTTGAGGCTGCTCAGTGTAGTACGTTCCCAGTACAGATTCCCAGGGCGTATCTCAGGGACTGGTGACACTGGCCTCAGGACAGCCTTCTGCCCTTCTAAATCATTGTCTTCTGTTGGGATGAAACTTCACAAAATAGCCAAAGATCAGAAGTGGAAAGAGGCAGCATTACAGAAAAGACACTGATTCTCTTATTTCCTCTCCCTTCCTGCCCCCTCACTGGCTCATATGGGACCTGCTGACCACTTTCTTCTGCCTCCATGGAGTGAGAGTGCTCTCTGTACCACAGTAAACTTTTTCTCTGTTAGATCAACCCTGGAGACTTAAAACACACTTCTAAAGTCCCTATTGCCTGACTGGTGCAATGTCCTGTATCCCTGGTGCTGATCACATTCTGTTGATTTTACTAGCCACTTTACAGTTATCTTTACAGCATTTTTCTGAAGTCCTCTGGCACTGTTGCCTCCCTATCAGAACTGGGAAAATAGATTTAAAAACTAATATTAATCCCTGTTTAAACTGATGAGTTCCTGCAGTACTTTCAAGAATGGGAGAAACTAGTGAAGTGGGCAGGAAGCTCATGGGTTATGAACATGCGTTATTTCTATAAGCACTGGATTTTTTCCATCAAAGTACAGGAGAATATGTTGAGAGGGTTTGTCTGGAATGTAAATATACACAGTATTTCCCCAGTGATGGCAAGGTGCTAAAGTGGAACTTCTTTAAACCCACATGGAAGGTATATAGAAGATTATACACACACATCTATATTTTCTCATATTTTTTTTAAACTTAACTATTTTCTGGTAAAGAAAAAGAAAACCTCATTTTCTGCTAGGAAAAACTCACAGCTAGTAGAAAAATTATCCTTCCCATTCTTCAGTGTATAATGAGATGTAGCTATGTTTCTTCACCTTTAAGCTTACAAAAACTTCCTTGTTTCTATAATCATGTGGGAAAACACTGCTGGCTCTGTATCTAATAACTACAGAAGTGAATGTGGTATTTCACTGTCCTCTTCCTTGTTCATTCTTGTATCTACTGTAATGATCTATTCTTTGAAGTTCAAGGTGTCATACATTCAAAATAAATGCTGGAGGTATAGCCATAGGTCTGCATGTGCCATTCATGGCATTAACTGTTATCTATGCCCTGTTTTCTCCAGGGAATGTTTGACCTGACACTGCACTGAATTTATGAGAGTGAAATCCCTTCACAAAGGCAAGTGCTGAAAATTTATTATGTCTGTTTTACCTTGTGGGAAAATTCTGTGGTCTACAAAAATCTAAAACATGAAATTAAAACACACAGCATCCTGGAAGCAGGTTACCTCTGCTGTACTTTGAGTGTTATCTTAGCAAACTTCAAATTGCAATCTTCACAAGCTGCAAACTGCACTGCACCATGACTGGCCAAAATATAACCCTCATGCATTCTGCTCCATCTGAGGGCTATGAAGACAAGAAAACCTTGCTCTGTTCTCTGTGGATGGTACACTGCAAGACCTAGTAGCCTGGTCCATCACACCTTGTCTATGGGCAAGTCCAATGTTCAGCCCAATACAGCTTAATTGATTGGCTAAAGAACAAATTACAGCTCTGCATGTTTCATGTTGCCATCATTATAATTCCTGCTGTTGGTTTGGCTTTGCTTTCATGGTTACTACTGAGACAGCTAGAAGAGGAAAAAAAGATGTATAGGAGGGTGCAGTTGCAAACCCCCGCACAACCTAAAGAGCAGCTGAACAGCTGTATTTTGCTTCTCTGGAAGATAGGCAGAGCTGGAAGACAGGCAGAGTCGGTGAGGATGACACTACTTGCTTCAGTAAACAGTAGCATTACCCTGCATCTCAGATAAATGATCTACTGTTTTTCTTCACTTGTGCCTTTGAACACCCCACCATGCTGTATGGCACAATAACATTTTCAGAACATGCTAAGTTTTGAACTGCCTTCCAGTGTCTGAAGGCTGCCATGCAGTGAGCCTGCAGAACAGCTGAGTCTAGGGGATGTTGCCTTATTTGAACTAGTATTATTTGTGCTAATGCTGCATGTATGTTAGGCAGCATATTCTTCTGCTCCCAATATCTTACTCATCACTACCCGTCCTGAGTTCAGCAGTAGCAGTCATTTTTCTCCTTCTTAGTAGCTGGTGCAGTACTGTGTTTTGACTTTCGGCCTGGGAGCAGAGCTGATAACAGCGATGTTTCAGCCTGACCAAGGACTTTCTGAGCCTCATGCTCTGCCAGGGAGGAGGGGAAGCCAGGAGGAAGCAGAGGCAGGACACCTGACCCAAACTGACCAAAGAGGTATTCCATACCACAGCACGTCATGCCCAGGATGTAACTGAGAGTTAGCTGGAGGGACTAGGGAGCTGCAGGGTTGGAGGAGGTATCGGTCGGTGCTTGGTCGGACTAGGGGGGGCGAGTTATCGGTTGGCGGGTGGTGAGGTGTTGTATTCTCTTCCCTTGTTGTTTCCTTTATCATTATTATTATTGGTGGTAGCAGTAGTGATTTGTGTTATACCTTAGTTACTAAACTGTTCTTATCTCAGCCCCTGGGAGTTACATTCTTTTCAATTCTTCTCTCCATTCCTCCGGGAGTAGGGGGAGGGAAAGAAAGGGGGGAGTGAGTGAACCACAACACTACCAAATATAGAGGCTCAGAGAACATCCACCTTGTGGGAATGGAAACATCAAAGATGGGTTAGCTGAGCCAGGGCCAGGTGTGAAATGTTATAGTTACAGAGACCCTGAGTGCAGAGACCTTGCCCTGTGGAAGTTGACAGGTCCAGAACCAGTCCCTGTATGGTCAGACACCACCAGTAAGACACATTTGAAAACAGTTATTTTCAGTTCCATGCTTTAACCCAGTATCTTTAAGCTACTGCTTCCACATCTATCCAGAGGAGGTTTCATGGGATTGCACTACTATTTTGAGAGCACACCATGGTGGGTGCGCCACTGTGATGGGTTTTGTTTGTTGTGTCTCTGCCACCCAGCAGAAATGCTCCTCAGGCCTCACGAGGAAGGTGGTGGCACAGGAACACAAAGGAGCAGAAATCAAAGTCAGGCAGCCTGACAAAACATCAGTTACAGCAGTTTTGCTGAAAATAACATCAGGGATCATGCAGCCAGCCGATCTTAACCAGAGGAGGATCTGACCCTATATTTAAATCTATTTTGGTAATACATATACTAAGTAAGATCAGTAGCAATGTGATGGTAGGCTAAAATATAGGTATTTGTTCATACATATTTTATTTCATACACATCTCTATATAGGTAGTTTTATACATGGCTTTGAAGCATTTGCCCTGTTACCTGTTTTTTTATTGTGTGTGCGAAAGTAAAGACATCTGCTTGTGAGGTAGCTACATAGGACTCTCATGCAGAGGCTGATGAAGGCCAAAAGAACCTAAATTCTGCATTCCCACTAGCAAAATTCTCTGAGTGCCTTCAGTTCTTTATGTCCCTGGGTGTGGAGAGCATATGAGACCTTGCTACCTGGTACACCCTGCAGGGCAGGTCCTGATGGATGACATCAGACATACAGTGGACCACAGCAGACATACACAGTGGTCTGCACCTCACACACCCAACCTTCCTGAAAACGTGGTGATGGGTCAGAAACAGAGGAATGGTTGTTCAGAGGTGGCTTCAAAAGGTACTATATCAAAGGACTAAGAAGAAGAGAACAATTATGGGCAGCTGTTACTCAGGGAAAGTCTGAGTAAGAGACAGTATGCTTGCTGCATAAAAAAGCTTTTCCTGTGGCACCACTCTCACACCCTTCCCTGGCAGAAGTATCACTCTTTTCTCTCCCTTTGTACCAGCTCTCAGAGGCCTCACCCCATCCGCTGCTGTGCCTGAGCTGTTTCTCATGGCAGCCAAACAGTGAGTTTAGTTTCTGTAGCCAAAGCCCACGGTGGGAGTGAAATAGAGCTGGCTGTCTGATCTCTGTGGTTATCTGAGAGGAGACATTGCAGCAGCAGGATTAACACTGTCCTCCCCCTAGCTGAGCACAGCTCTCTGCTCCTAACCTCTGTCTGTGGCACTGTGGTGACAGAGGAGACTGCCCAAGTGGGCACCAGGGAGTCCCCTACTGCCAAAACGGCTCCCTCAACATCCAGCTGCTGTTGTGAACCATTCACAAATTGCTCCTTGGTTAGAGCACTTGAGTAATATGGTTTTTAGTCTTATTATAGGTGCAATATGAAATACTGGGATAGATTGGTAAAACCTGCCCCACAGCAGCCAGTAGCACCAGTACTCTTCAGAAAGGTTTGAAACACAGAGGCTTTGACAAATCCATGTTGGCTGTACTCCTTTCCTCATTATCTTTCAGTTGACTTATGAAGAGTTTATTTAATTCTTCAATCTAGTATTTTTCCCACATTAAAGATAAAATGACTGCCCTACAATCCCATAACTTCTCCTTTTCCTGAAGATACAAGCGCAATTCAGCTTACATGATGTGAGCATTAGATGTCCAGTTTAAAGTAGTTATCAAGGTTCCCTCTGTAATTATGTGAGAGATGGGTGCCACAAGAGAGTCATTTTAGGAACCATCTTAGGATGAGAAAATTACTTTCTAGAGAAGACACTTGTCTCCAATGACTGTGCAGTGGGGGTTATTAATAATGAATGACTTTCAGATGATCTGTACTGGGTGAAATGAATGTCCATTCTGCACTTGTCTGCCTGAGTCCTGTGAACCTCCAAGGTGGTTTCAGCTTGTTCTTAAACACCCTAAAATAGAATTAATCAGGAAGCTGATCTGGAAAACAACTTGACAAACAACTGTCCTAAATGTTCTCTATCTATCTTCCTCTTAGCCTGAGAGCTGAGTTCTGGTGTAGGCTGTGTTAACTGTGTGACTGCATGCAAACTTTGTCTTGAAGAATGGTGGATTCAAAGACTTAATATTTTGCCTTCGCCTGTGTGATCAAGTGGTGCCATTCCTTCTACACTGCATGGTGGTCAAGCTCTTTCCCCATCCTCTTACTACTAATGTAATCAAAATATGTTTCTTTGTGGCCTTTTATGTCTGCTGGTATGTATATGCTGTAGAATTATAATTTCAGCCATGTAGAGATCTATTTTGAATGATTACTTCATAGCTGCCTTGTAAATTCTAACATGTTGAATGTTTAAAGAACACAGACTGGGATTAATTCACATCATAGACTAATATACTGCAAATGTCCTTTTAAAAAGTCTTTTGTATCAGTCCTCAAAGAAGGCATCAAGCAATAGGAAAAACAAACTGAGAGAATATTGAGAAGAAATGAGGTTCTTCTTAACTCTAAATGGTGTTAATTATTTTTATTTTTTTTTCATATTTCTAGACTGACACTGTTTGCACATATGCTCCAGAACAAATTAGTGTGGTGATCATGCAATCAGGTTGTTTTCAGCTAAAGTTCTAAGACATAGGGTTTTTTTAACTGTAATATGGTGGTAGTCATAAAAGTGAATTTAAAGAAACAGCATGAATGTTCTAGCACAGGATCTACTGTAAATATAAGTAAGCAGTATAAAGGTAGTTGACATCATTATATCCAGGCCATGGAGGAAAGAGGTATACTGCCAAAACTACTTCTCTAGCAAATGCAGCTGTATCTGGAGGCTTTGCTATACAACAGCTAAAGCATCGCAGCCTGTGTGTGTGAGAAGGGTGGCACATGCCCTTAGCCCTGTCAGTGCCCCTTGCATTCCCATGAAACTCTCACATGCACTGGGCCATGTTTCTGTACAGCTGCTACACATGCTGCTGAAAGCAGAGGAGACAGATACGATGTGTAAGGCAAAGCATGTATCATGCTATCAATTTTTAAGCACCGTTGAAGAAGTGATGGTGCAGAGTGGTTTTTAGAAATAAACTGAAAGGATTAAGTGTCCTAAGTGGGAGGTAACAGCAACAGCAAGAAAGCAGTGACAAAACTTGGTGTGACACTTCCCAAATTGCTAGGCAGGCTTTTCCCTAGGTCCACAACAGCCAGCCTGTGACATTCTTGCAAGCTAAGTGTGGCTTTGCGACAGGACACCTTGCAGGAAGACTAAGCGCTGTACAAAGGATAACACTTTCCCCGTAGGTTGTTAAGGAAAGAGGACAGTCTTCCCTAGGAGTAAGGAATGAATCAATGTCCCGGCATGAAGCTAAGGGTTTCAGACCTCCATGCTCATTGTCAGAGCTCCAATAAGGCTTTTTGTAACAGTTAGTGTCTCCTCTAAATTTCAAGCTGAGAAATTATGTTCTTGTCTGTTTTCCTACAGTGGTTTTATTTGGGCGTGATATACTTATTGTCTGTAGCTGTTGCAGTGTCCCTGTTTGTTCTCATGGCTCACAAAATGTTCCACCTTAGAAGCAGCCGCCTTTCAGGGCTAAATAATACCAGCATATGCAGCACATAAAATCCTTCGAGATTCCACACAATGAAACGTCCTATATTTTGAACAATATAGGAGTCTTCTTGTTCTTTTAGGCCTCAAACAGGAAATATTTAAGCACATTTTTAATTAAGTTGCATTGAAGTTAGTGTAATTGAAGTCCATATTTTTAGCATGTGTTTCTAATTAAATGCATCCATAAATGCTTTCCTGATCAGAGGTCTTCAAGCCTGTGGAAGCACAGAAGCTGAAGCATTCAGTTTTGGCTGCTCTGGGTGCTGAACTGGGAACTGCAGTTGTACTTACAGAGTCCCAGCCTCAAGGCTATGGTTTGCTTAAAGTAGTACGGGAAGGTATGGTGCTTATGCGTTGCACAGAAAACAAACACATACATAAAGCATATAACTAAAGAAGCACTAAAGCTGAAGATCACACACAAAAAAATTAATCCTCCTGACATGCTGGTTTGAAAGGACACACAACAGAGAGCCTGCTATAAGCCATTCCTAGTTTGCTCTGGCTGGAAAAAGGAACAAAATTACACAGTAAAACACTGTTTGGGGTGAGCAATGGTAATCATGCTTTTTCAGCATAAAACACAGTTGTTTTAAGTGACCATTCTGCACAAACAGGTTCTCACATGTTTCAGTTGTCTGTTCACTGGAGCGCTGGGACTCTGTAATAGTTCTGCTGCATGAAGGAGGTATTTGGACTTTTGCAGCTTGAGATCACCAAAAGGCAAAGGACTCAATCCATCAAGATGCATACTACAAAGTACCTGGCTGGTTGGATACAAATGTCTGTAAGTGCAAGCTTAATGCCTTTATGATAAAAATTAATTACTTTTTATTATTTTCTGTATTATGTCAAGTAAGGAATATGACACATTTTTAGCCTTTCTTCCTACATTTGCAGTTAGAAACACAAATTAACAGATTTACTTCATCATCTATAGGTAATGACAGCAGCAATTCTTTTTCAAAGAGAAAGGCAGGATCTGGTTGTGATTTTGTGAAAATAACCTGACAGTCATTTTCTGGCTTCTTTTACTGTGCTCATCATTTCACTTTTTGAATAGCTCATCAACTTGTAAAAAACCAAGAACAGAAGGAGATTTCTGTGTGTTCCTCCAGCTCCCTTTTTTGAGAGAAATTTTCTCATGTGTTTTTAATTCTGAGCTCTAAGTGGATGGAGGATTAATGGTACCCTGTGTTTCTACTTTTCATTTCAAAGGCTGTGGATGTTGGTATCTGAGTCTTCCTGCTGTCTTTGATGAGCATGTTCTGCAGCTGAAGGCTGGCTGCTGAGGCAGGGAACCAGGCTTGGACTCATGGATCTTGACAGCTCCATTACCCTCAGGAATGAACCTGTCACAAGAAGCCGTTGTGCTTTAGGCTTGGCCCACAGGTAACTTTGATAGGTCTTACAGAGGGTTTTGACACAGAGGACAAAACCTTCAACTTCTGTTGAAGGATGTGCCTATAAAGCATCAAAGAACAAACTGCAAAATGTGATAATGCACTAAAGAGGACATTCAGCTAAATGTTTGCACAACGATTGAGAAAATGAAACAATAATTCAGTGATTTCAATGCAACAAAATCGAATATGATGCTCATCACTTTCAGTACTGGAGTTATGAGTGCACTGCAGGATCCCAACACAGTTTGGCTTCTGATCATCCAAAGAATACCACCCTATCCTCACATGTAACCACCCCTTGTGCTTCTTGGGGTGGTAGCAGCCTTAGCTTATGTATCTACCCTAGTTCCAGACAGACTGCTGCTGGAGCTCTGACTTGTCCCTCTTCATGCTTGCGCAAAACAGGGCTGAGATAACAAACACTCCCTCAGTGGCACTTGACACTTCCTTGTGCCACCCTTTAGCACCCTTCAACTTCCATCCTCAACTAACTAGAGGCTGTTTCTGTCATTTTAATATCTCGTTTTCTTGATCCTTGACAAGCAGAGATAGCATTGCTCATTTTTGCCCTCTCCCTATTCCTCTACAAGCTTGTGACATTAGTCACAAGTCTGCGAGTCCCAAATTATCTACTGAAAGGTTGCATAAATGTACTTTATACGGTTTTACACTTCTATTTTAATGTAACTCTTACAATAAATTTCATAGCCCCATCATGTGTTTTGCTGTTCAGGAGGTAATATCAGACCCAAGACGGACCCTAGTGTAGGTCATGCCATCAGAAACGGATGCTGTCCCACACGTCTGATCATGGTGAGCAGGTGTGGGAGCGGTAACAGCATCCATCAACAGACCCTGACATGGCAAGTGACAAAACAGGGCCAGAGACCATCCAGGTGCTTCTGTCAGAAGCAAGAGGACATGGGGCAAGCGAACAGCATGGGTCCAAAGTCTATCCAGGGTTAGAGATGGCACTGGAGACAAACTGCAGTGTACATCCAAGGCACAGTGTATCTATAGCATAGGTCCAGTCCATCCAAGAGATAGGGCTAGAAACCAACATTGCTACAGTGCCTCTAGGACAGGGACTGACTGAACTGAACTAAGGTCGTGAGCTGTGGGCAGGGTAGGGGTAGCCCAAAGAAGGCTGGCTGGGGACAGTAAGACCTGTGGGTGCCCTCAGCACCATGACAGGTAAGGGGGTTGCTGACGCTACTGCCAATGACATTTCCTGTGATTTTGTTTTACTTACTAGTGGGGTTTTCTAGGAAATAAGTTTCCCAACATACCGCTCTATGTTATACATGTGTTTGCTCCTATTTGCATCTCTCAGTATCTTTCAAACTGGCTGGCAAGTCAAATAGAGTGGTAGGGATCACCAAGGTAGTAATGATATTCCTGCAAGCTTCATGAAATCAGAAAGGCCTATTGTATCACCCCAGCTGAGAGAAATGTTGAGGAAGCACGGTCCTAGTAGACACCTGAGAATCCACTGGAGACAAAGCTTTCCAAGGAAGAAACTTTACTCCTCTCTGGACACCAGCTTTGAAACCCAAGTCTGTGGGAAACCACGTGCCCTTTGAGCTGGCACCCAGAGTGACGCATTTGGCGGGCACTTCATTTTTCCCCCCTTGCACCTTGTTTGGCAGCAGCTGACTGTGAGCAGCCGGCTAGTCTGGTCAGCCACATTGTTCTAGCTTTTCCCTCAGAAATAAAGGTACATTCATTAGTGTTTGCAGTTAGTACTTTTTGTACCTTTACTTGTAAGGAAAGGAGTAAGTGGCAGCAATAGCAAGAGATTTTACTGAGCTATAAGGAAGAGGAAGCAATCTACACAGGCACTGCGGGACTCCAAAGGAGCAGATACAGACCTTCACATTCAAACTGATGTTTGGCAAGGAAAGCAGCCTTTACGCAGTGCAGTTCCTCTCCCGAGCTAGGCACAAAAAATACTCTATCCTTTCATCACATATTAAAAAAAGAAATAAAATCCATAAGGCATCAGGGCTGTATATGAGAAAGACACACAAGAAGTAGCAGTGCCCCAGTGTACAGGAGGAGTGACAAAACAATGCTGCCCTCTTTTCTGTGGGCTCCCATGAGGCTGGGTTTGTATCATGGAGAAGAACAATCCATTTGGTGTCCAGCTGGAATCTCAAATAACCATCTCATTTTTCTTTTCCAGTAACAGGGCCAGTTTTGTGCAAAGAAGTAGGCATGGAGGTCTAGAGACAGCAGAACTGTTAAACTGATGTCTAAGTGCAATTGCAGCTGGCAAAAAATTAGAATGAATCTTCTTGAAGTAGGGGGATACTTGAATACAGAAGTTGCAGCCTGAAGATGTTTCCAGGGACAACTTTGTACTTCCTTCCCACTGGTATCGTTACATTTTGTTGAACATCTCTCATAGTGGACAAGCATGAGGTTTGAAGAGTGCAGGAAAATATTCTGCAAGTGTTCCCAAAAAGCCTGTGACTGATATGGTATGGTTTGGCTTGTCCTCAAAATGAGATTTTATGCACTCTACCATCAGCTTACAATTGAGATGATTTGTGCCTGTGAGGACATCTTCTCTATAGTTTTTAATACCTTACAATAAACAAAAAAATCATTGCTAGCCCTAGTGCAGTGCCCTTCCCTATTCCTTGTCACTCAACCGCTGAGCTTTGGAAAGCTTGCCAAGTCCTTGGCAGAAGCTTCTTCTCATGGGAGCAGAACTGCAGGATTTGATCCAGGAGAAGAGACAGGGTTTTCATATTTTATTCTAATGTCAGCAACAGAAACCTTCAAAGCAGAGGAATACTCCCCAGCTGTGAGCTGGGTTGCTCAGGAGGTACCACTCCTGTCGCTTTGTCAAGCCGATCAGGGTACGAAAGAGCTCTTTTTCTAGGCTGGATGCACTGAAGAGGTGCCAGGGCATCCCACCCACAGTCCTCGTTAAAGAAAAATAACAACAGCACAAAGCCCAAGGATTGTTTTCGTATTTGTAGTATCTCAGCAACGGCTACTCTATCATCTGTTTTTGCTTTGGTGATTTCTTTTCTTATTAAGAAGAAATGCTACATGCTGCCACACAAGTAGCTGACCTCCTGCTGCCGGTCAGAGGCTGCTTGGTATGTCCAGGCGGGATGGACTATGGGCTCTGCTGTGCTCCCTAGCTGTTGGACCTGGCTTAGAAGGAAGTGGCCCAGACCAGGACTTTGCAATTGTTCTGTTTTCTCCAATAAATCGATTGTTCACCCAAAGAAGTTCAGGCTTTTGACACTGGGTCAAGCAGGACAGCTAATATTGGCTGATGCAAAAACTAACAAACAAAGTTCTGGAAATTCCTGACTGTTTCATTTCGACATTTTCAGAAGGAAACATTGCATTTTGGAAAGCTTGATTCATGAGGTGATTTAGTGGCTTTCACAATGCAGAGAAGGAGATGGTTGCACATCCCTTCCCTGCAACTCATTCTTGTATTCTGGTGTCTACAGCACTTGCCTGAATGGGTAATTAATTACTTTAATTACTTTCTATAAACGGTGATGAAGCTTCAGTTAGAAATATCGGGAGAGCTCCATTCCAGACCACCCTTTCTGAGTGTTGAGACAAGCTCTTGCAAAGCAAATGACCCAAATTTAAGTGTGTTGTTCTCTGCTGTAATGACACAAGGAGGAATGTTGAATTTGTGTCCCCTTTGAAAATACTGCAACAAATGAACCTTTTTTAAGGATGCAGGCTCAGAGCACAACGCATTCTCAAGGTTTTTCAAGTCACCTCTTGGTAAATTCAGCCTTTAATTCCCAAATGTCTTCAATTAAAGTTTTCCAAAATCAGATCATGATTCAGAAAAAAAAAACCCAATTAAAATAGTTCTGAGTAAAACACTGAATTTGAGTAATATTTTAGGAAACTGTACTGCAAATTAGGAGATACAAGGCCTAGCACATTTATGAAGAGTTAGCTAGTTAGATAGCAGGATCTCTGAGATGGAAATCATGTTACTCTATTTATGTCTGTGACAGATGACACCTCACTGGTGTAGAACTTTGTGTGAGTATCAGGCAACTCTTTTGCAGTCAGATAGTTGTAAAAATTTAATGAGTTGTGAAATAGATTTCTGGCCTATGGACCAATCAGTATTTCTGTCTGTAGTGGAGAGCCTGACAAACTCTGATAAAGGAAACCTAAGGCATCAGAAACATGCAGGAGAGTACTACCTCATAGCAGGTAGTTATCCAAACAGGATGGTAGTGTAGAGTGACAAAGCTGAGCTTGCTATCAGCTGTTGGTAAAAGATAAAAAGGGAAAGTCATATGTGGACATCGATCTATCTGCTTATTCTTTGGGACTACCATACAGGCTGTCAGTGACGTTGGTGCCCCTGTGGCAGGCACTGCATAAACATAGGGAGAGAGGCACTCCTGGGCTTTAAAACCCACAGATATCAGGTGGGGAAACAGAAGAAATCATCCTATTAATGTACAATTTCTTCTCTCATCCAGCATTTAAGGTAGTCTCTACCTGTGCAGGGACTGAGCTTAAAACACCTGAACATCAGTGCTCTGACCATATGGCCATGTGTCAGAAAGACTCACAGGAGCATCAGTACAGCACAACTGACTGAATTGAGTCCCGGTCACTCCACAGGCAATTTCTGTCCCAGCCACCAGGGCAGAGAGGATTACTTCTTTCCCTCCCACACTCCACCACCCAGCTTGCTTACAGGCTCCTTTGTCCTTTGTACTTGCTCCCTTTGGTTAAGGGACTGCCCTGGTCCAGCCGGCAGGAGAAACTCTGCGTGTACTGGCTTAATTGAAGGTGGTGGGGAGCACAGCAGGAATTGTTCCTGAGTATGGAAAACAATACTTATAAAATCACTTCATAGTTCATAGTATTTTAATACAACTTGTGTGAATACAAACAGCTTCAAAGACCAATGTCTACTCAGAAATCACTCTGAACTAAGAAGTGCTTATGGTTTTCCTCTTTGAAGTCTACCTGTATTTCTAATCCTGGAGCAAACTGGAGTTTCAAGAGGAAGGGAAGATGACAGTGCTTTCTGTATGGAGATACATGAGTCCTGAAACAAAAAAAAAGAGAGCGTGAATTTATGTTGTAATTTTGTAATGCTGGAGAACACTGGGGCTCAATTTTTGATCATCAGCTCTAAAGTCTCACTTTAATGAGCATCATGGCTGAAAATAATTCAACAATGCATATAATGCCCCGGCTACTGATTTTCTCATGATATATGGATATGCAAGTTAAGTTCACAGTCTCAGGTGGCCTCTGGGACTGAAAATCCTCAGGCTATCTGTGCCCTCCCTAACACACTAGGAGGCTGGAAATGATGCTGAACGTTACCCACTTTCCTGCATTTTCCAAGCAAACCTGGAAGAAACCAAGAACAAAAACGTTTGGTGCCCTTGCAGCCCTAAGTGCAGAACTTGTCTTTTTGAAATGCTATGTCAACAGCTCTTCACTAGCAGGGCCATTATTTTTATTGGCTGTGGCTCTCTGGCTAGTGTTGACAGGTTAATTTACAGTAACAGTGAGAGTCACCTTTACTCGCTATACCAGAAAACACAGCGCACTCCGTACTTGAATTGCCACACTCTTGAGAGCAAGAATGTTGGGGAGCAAGCATTAGTGCTGCCTTGCAGCCTCACAAAGGCACCTGGGGACTCTCACAGAAGAATGCTCTTTTAGTGAAATCATTTTTGCCAGCATATGTGACTTGAGCAGGAATGGTTGCAATTATTTCTTACCGTGCTTATTAGAGAGGACATATGGGAAGATTAGCCTCAAGAATGTCACTCTTGGACGTGGTCTTCCTATGGTGACTGTGCCACAGTTTTTTTCTTTTCTTTTTTACTTCTTTTTCCCTCTTTTCAATATATCAGAATACATTGTGAGAAATTTCCCTTGGTAATGTATATAGATAGTGCTAAACAGATCCCAGGAAATATTTTGTGGGGTGTACTTAAAGGACTCCTTCCCTTCACTTCCTTTTCCTTCTCTTCTCTTCCTTTCCCTTCCCTTCTCATTACACAGATGGTGAAGAAGCTATGAGAAAGCTGACGGAGAGCACATACATTGGAGTAGGACAAATTCAGAGCAGCTAAGAGAGAGGGATAAGTACTGCCAAGAAAATTATGACAGCCTGGGTGCAGATCAACAGACCTTACATCACAGGAAAACTGGAGAAAAAGAAAAACCCAGAGTGGTTTGTTTGTTTTTTGTAATAGGACTGTTGTATAAATCAAGTGAATAAATAGTGTTTTAATCCTAGCAATATCAGATATCAGAACTTTAGGACCCTTGCAGCCTCCTGAAATAAATTGACCATGCACTATTTACCAAGCACATGGCAGCACCAACCATCAGGTAGAAGGTCTTTCTCTTCTTTCATCATTGGTGGACCTTGTGCCACTGAACCAGCAGCCCTTAGGCTCAGGTATTCTGTTTTGACTGTATGGCCATTATAAATACAGAAGATGTGCCTCTTGTATTGTGATCATATTTGAATTTGGGATGGTTACACTCTGCTGAAGTGGTTCTATGAGTTTGCAGTATGCTTATTTCATAGAATCATAGAATGCTCAGTGTTGGAAAGAACGTTAAGATCTTCTAGTTTCAACATCCCTGCCATGGGCAGGGATGCCTCATACTAGACCATGTCACCAGGCTTTACTCACTACTGACATAACAAGAAAAATGTCAAAACAATTAATGTATTTAGTCTGCAAATCGTAGAATCACAGAATAGTTAGGGTTGGAAAGGACCTTAAGGCCATCTAGTTGCACCCCCCCTGCCTGGGCAGGGACACCTCACACTAAACCATGTCACCCAAGACTTCATCCAACCTGGCCTTCAACACTGCCAGGGGTGCAACATTCACAACTTTCTTGGGCAACACATTCCAGTGCCTCACCACCCTCACAGTAAATACATGGCAAAAGCTTTTTGAGAAGGTTCTGGGATCTTTCTGCTGTAAAAATTTCACATCTTTGTGTTTAAAATTGCTCAGTCACCATTCTGTTCTCATCAGCCAGCTCTTTGAAAGTCTTCATGGCACTTTTCCATCCTGCTGCCTCAGCTGTAGCTCAACATCTCAGAAATTGTCAGAAGTTCCCACCAGCTTGGAGAGTCACAGCAAATCAGAGAGAAAGCAGATGGGAGGAAGTGTGAAATCATTCAGAGGTGGATTAGAATAGAAAAAAGTGAATCTTGTTTTTTTCTGTTTTCACACACAGATTTCTGTGCACACACTGGCATATATGCAGAATCACAGAGGAGTGTCACTGAAACATATCACTCCTCAGTCACCGAAGCAATCGTCTCTACAACACATTTGCTCAGAACACATGTATTTAGTTTGCAGAGAAAGGTTCGTTTTTGTGATTAAGATGCCAGGTAAGGCTTGAAGAAGCCATATTAAGCTAATATATTTCCTCTTTTAATTTGTAGTGTATACCTGTCAGATAATTGTAAGGGTAAATATATTGATAGGGTAAAATATTCAGCTATTAAAGCAATGATGATCAGGAGAAAACTATATGTAGCCATCTTCCTGTTCTTATTACCTGACACGTATACTGCTGTTTTCAAAAGATCTGTTGAAATAGGGCTTCATTTTGGCTGGAGGTGAGAATAAATATGGCAAAAAAGAACTTGCTGAAATAAGCATTACAGAATTCAGCTTCTTCCTTTTGCTGTGCTGGAAAAACAGGTAATCAGATTTCCTCCAGATCATCACCCTACAACTAGTAAGCCCTAAATAAATCATATGGTAGCCTCTATCTGTAGTAGCTTTTAGCATCAAGTGTAGCTTGCTGCTAGCTTGCCAGTTATACCTGAAAAATTAAAGAACAGCTCACAGAATTGCTTTTCTTTCCATGTTGAAGATAGCTCATGCTTTTAAAGTTCAAAACATCACTGACTTCATAGAAGCACTGTGAGTAAGGTGGGATCTTCATAGTAGCTTAGGATCTTTAGTGCCTCAGTTATATGAGGACAAATGGAAGATTACTAATTGCAAGAGAGTTTCAAGAACCTTCTCCTTGAAAATCAAGCTGCTTTAATATATTTTAACATAGGCACTAGCAAGCCATGCAATCTATGAGATCAGATTTAGGAGGAAAAGGAAAAAACTTTGATGTTGTGCAGTAGCATCATGAAGGCAGGAAGGCTGTGAGTAATGGTGTTTTGTGTAGAAAAGCTGCTGCAGAGCCTACCTGGACTTGTAAAGGTGTAGGGCTCCTTTGCTGCTCTGTGTCACTGCTGTAGCTCTGGCTAGGGGAGCCTCTCCATGTCTGTTGCCAACAGAGATGTTCCCACAGCCTCCTTTGCACTGCTGTAACTCAATCACTGTGTGATAGCAACAGACAAAAGCAGAGGCACTGTATCAGAAAACCTCTTCTGCTTTGAACCACAGTCTCTTTTCTGTGCCATCTCTCTTGCTCTCAGCACAGCCAAAAGAATGCCAGAGAGACAGAGTTAAACACACACCAACGAACCAGCATGGGAGGATGCTCCCCTGCTGTTGAGACTATCTATTCTAAGTGTGAAGGCAATAACAACTCTCTTATGCAAGGTACTAGCCATTATAGATTCAGGATGAATGTTTCCAGCAATTACTCCACATCTGTGGTCCAAGACACACTATGGCAAGGAGTGTAATAAAAGCAGAGAATCATTGTCTGCTCCTAGACTGACAGTGAGCTGAGCAGGATCTGTCGCTGTCCCTACTGTCCTTGCTGCTTCTGTGTGAGAAGTGGAGGGAGAGCATAGGAGGGATAGCAGACATGGTCTA